CCAGAGACAAGCTTCTTGAGTTTGGTACTGTGAATACCAATACATGTGTCTTATGCAATGGAAGTCTTGAAACTGTTCACCACTTATTCTTTGAATGCCAATTCAGCCGAGCAATCTGGGACCAAGTCTTGAGCAAATCTGGCTTGCGGTATAGCTCTATGCTTGGACTCAGGCCCTTAACTGGCTTTGTGCCTATCTGCGTGGCGGGAATTTACATGGAAAGATCCTAAGCTCTCATTTATATATAGTGTTTATCACATATGGCAGGAAAGAAATAATCGAATTTTTCGAGGAGAGGCAAAAAATTCAAGAACATTAGCTCAGCTTATTATTCTTTGTATCCAAGGGAAGGTGGGCCTCCATCTACAGGTCATGGATACCAGTAGGAATAGGGCGATAGAAAGGTTACCGAACCTGGACCTCAATAGCCTTGCAAAGCTATTGTACACTTAAAACCAAACCTCGAAGAAGTGTCAATACCATTTTGGTACGAAGCGACTCGAGGGGTCATACATTGTACAACAAGCGTTTGAATTATGAAATAGTGAATAACAAAATGAACAATGTTTAATAAAATGGGCACATTTGGTCCTTCGCAAACAATACAAGGCAACATGGATTGCCATCTTCATATTATGCATTGTACAGTTCAAGCTGAATACAATATTTACTAAGCTTGTATAAATTACACATGCAAAACCCTTTATAGGTAGGATCAGCATTATACTATTTCAAGGCACTCTTGAAAAATCCGTGGGAGTTATACAGGTTGTTTCGGCAAGTTAGCGAGGATTCTCGACTAGTTGAGAAGCTTGTTGCAAGTGCCAACTCCAACAGCAGCAGCAAGATGCCAACCAGCATGTAGAAATGGAGTTTCAGGAAATAAGTCATCGGCAATGAAAAGTGCACCCCCTAACAATGACGACATCTTATGCACATTATGTGCCATCCTGAGGTCCGGATCTTGAAATGCTCTCTTTGCAAATGCGACCTGGATGACAAATCAGAAATATTTATCGTCAACAAAGTTGAACAGAACTACCCCCAAAAAAAAAAATACACGGCTTCATCTCCCTCACTGAAACCCAAAATTCAGTCAGGAAGCAATAAAAATGATGATCAGCGGTATTCACAAACAGAAAAGGATCACTTCCAATTTTGAATCTCATAGCTAATAGCGATGATTTTTAGAATTGACGGACTTTCAGAGTTGGAAATTCTGTCAGTAATTTTTTTTTCTATTGTTTTAAAAAGACAGTGAAGAATTTCCAATTTACTCTCAAGAGATGGAATGTTTTGACAAAAATTCCAGCGTTAATAATTTTAATATTTTCTGTCGGAGAATCTGTTTCTCTCAGCAACATAGTTTTCCTGTTGGAACTATTCGGTCACAGTTGGCATGTATTTGTGGTGGAAAAGAAATAAAGAATTGACATTATATACTGAATGCAGAGACCAGAATCGCCTTGCCATCCCTACTTACAACCCACACTTAGTATTACTGCATCAATTGGTCACCAGAAGGTCGGGCGTGCATGTGAGCGAGTGGACACAAAAACAAGAATTTGTATTTTCATAAAATAATCTATTTTCATTACAGGAGGACTAATAATCATTATCAAATGGAAGTCTGCAATTAAACCAATATAGATTCTCGATTAGAGATTATGTCTAATCATTTTGAAAAGAGAAAAGATTGATTTTCAGTTGACTAAATATATAAAGTGCATACGCCTACCTCCATGATCCCCGTGTGAACTGCTGACACCATCAGAGGCTGAATTGGTAGAAAGAAAGCTGAAGCTGCCATCAGTAACTTTGGGTTCTCATTTCTAAGTGCCCTAGACAGACACTGCGAGAAGAATTAAGTCCTGGTTTCTATGTAAGTGAACCGCATAACAAAACAAATATAGAAACCTCAATTTTTACAGATAGTATTAAAAATATTCTTAATAA